GGGAGTTTCTCGTTTGGTGGGGAAGGGAAGGGGATATGTTTTTATGTGGGTATAACGACTTTTATTAAGATACTATACTATAGCGTCTTAATAAAAAGCGCTATATCTTTCCGCTCTTTTCAAGTTCAATTATAGCGCCTTTTAAAAGGGCATTATATATATTTGGGTCTCTATATTTTTTTCACACATTTTAGTTCTTTAAGTCCAAAAGAATTACATTTTGGTTCTGGACTCAAAAAAGTCAACGCAAGTCAGAGGTACGAAAGATGTGAAAAGAAATAGAAAATAGAATATAAATGTGAAGGAAAGGACGAACAAAGCTATTTCCAATTGTACATTTTGCATTAATTGTGCGTATACACTTTTTTAAATTGACAAATGTACCTGCTCCCTTTTGAACTCAATTGTTGTAGAAACACGTGTACTCTACGTGTCCAGCACAGATAATTTCATCAGTTCATCTAGATTTTTCCAAGATAGAGAACCGGAAGATTGGATCATATTGGAATTCCACTAGATGTCTTCAATGAAAAATTTGGTTCCCTCGTATTCAAGATTTTCAGCTACAAAACTATTTTCCCTTTTAATCATTCATCCTCTGTTTTTGCTTTTCTGCTCCAGCTGCGTTTGGCCTTGGCTTCTAGATCCATTTCAAAATTTCTCTATTTTTCCGAAATGTGTGTGGTTCGCTAAGTTCTGCTTAGTTTTCTTTTGTGCTCAGTGCTTCTTTCTTGATGAGCATATGAATATTTGATTCTATTTTGTTTAGAGATGATTGATTTTGATATTAAACTTTCCTTCTTTCTTCGTGTTTCCTTTATGGATTCTGTCATACTCATACATGTGGTTATTTTTTAAAATGCCTCTTTAAAAATTTTCAGCTTTGGTAACCTGACTGCTCCCCTACAGCGGCTACAGAAAATTGCCACTGGGAGAAAAATAAACTAACAACGGAAGAGTTTTAATGCAACCAATATGTTTGATGAAATTCCAATGTATTTGATGAAATTCTCCAATGTAAAGAAGATAGTTTCAACAATTCGGTTGACCTCTTCTCTGCAATCAATCAAGCTTTTTACATATCAATGGACACTGATTAAATTAGTACAACTTGATTTCTACTACTGATTGCACTTTGAATTCCCATTTTGTTGATTGGTAAGCTTTTGTCAGTGTATTCCCTCTATGTAATTTCATTGTTTTCCATTTTATATCTTCGGCTTTATTTTATAATTTTCTTACTCAATTTAGATCGGGTTTCTTTCATATGCATTTTTTTTTATTTATCAAGATGCGAATCAGATTGTTTGCATGCTTATAGGGAGAGAAAGTATGAACTCGAGGGAGATTCTAGAGCAGCAGAAAAAACATTGGTCATAATCGAAAAAGAGAAAAAGGGGCAGGAGAGGCAATCGAAGAAAATGACATCAAACAACTATTGCCAAGGTGATGCTGACTTGATAGCTGAACGTTAATTAGGTATGGACTAATATTAGGCTTATATTTTGTGTATCTTTTAATTGTTATATTCCTATATGCGCATGCACACATACCCATATCAGTATGGCACGAGCGAGCGACTATGTGTGTATGTGTGTAAAGTATTCTTTTAGAAAATATTTTACTTAAAGATATTACTTGCCAAGTCATTTTTCTTATTTGGTTGAACAGAGAAAATGAAACGCAAGCTTCGTTGATAATCACAAATAGTAAACAATGGAGATGATATTTACATGTTATATGAGTAAGCGATACAGAATAGGAGTGGAGTGGAAATAATTTTCAAAATGGATACAACTACAAGCTAGAAAATAGTTTCATTAGTGAAAATGAATTCACCATCAGAGTGGAAGTTTTCATTGTACTCATACTTTCAATGTGCTCTCTGTTAAAGTTAACATAGTATAATAGCTTTTCTCCAACCAGTTTGCAATAATATTGAATTTCTCTCATGAATTTTATATGTTCTTCTTTTTGCTTTGCTTTGCTCTGTTGTTTAGTTAATTAAGTTGCTGGATTTTAGTACTAATTTAGGTAATGCAGAATAGGGGTGAAAAGGATGTAAAAGAAGTTTTGAGTTTAAATAGCCTAAGGAGTATATGATGAGTCCAACCCTGAAGAATAAGCCACACGGTTATCACAGCTTCTGCATCTTATAAAAGTTCTAATTGTTAGATTATTGCATCTATTACAGTAAACTACTTAAAGTTCTATAAAACTTTTTGATTTTGTTAAACTCTTCCACTAAGATATTTCCAAGGGAAAATGGCAAAAGGTCCACATTTTATATAAAATATTTTTGTTCACCTTTATATGAGAAACTTTAAGAATTTTCTAGAGATCACAGACTATCCAGTAGGTGACAGCTTTTGTTGATTTCAATTGATATAGTTTATGTTGTCCTTGATTGAATCGTAGTAACTTGAAATTATCTCAATTTTTTGTTAATACCTCTTGAAGCTGATAAAAGTACTCGATAAATTGAAGATGTTGTTCTTAAAGTGCTCAAGTGCAAGGATATGTAGACCTCTTAACTCACTTATTTAGAGTGCAATGGCTTGCTTGTTAGTGTTGTCTTCCGAGCTGCGCCTCTGGTCCTGAAACACCTAAAATTATGTCTGAGGATAAGTTATATACATGAATATTTGATTTTGAATTTTAAGTCCGAGAAACTCTTAAGTGGTATTAGTGGAAGCTCTCAATCATTTTTTCGTTTGTTTGAATATTCCAAATATTTACCCGACTTTCTTCTTTCCTTTTCAAAGTTAAATATAATGCTAATCATACAGCAAATGTAGTGTGTAGTGTGGCATATTTACTTTGGGCTGAATATTTTTATTAACTATACCAGGATCTCTTATGCATAGCTACTGTATCTTAGCGTCAGTAAGGTATTATCTAAATTTTGGTGTTTAGTTCTATCTGCTATTAAATCTTAAGTATGACCTTGCACTTCCTTAAGTGTATTTATCTTCCTACTTTATGTGTGCAGCCAAGTTTCAAGTTGGTATCATACATATATTCCTTTAACCCGATAATATCTATCGTTTGCCCTTGGACCAAAATACTTCCTGAATGCTTATGCTCACTTTTAGTATATGGATTTGTGTTAATTAATTTCTTTTTTAATTTGTTTTAGGCATTATTAGGTATTATCCATGGCTCCCGTTGGTGTCATATATATAGTGGAACACCTAAACCATAGAGAATAACGAACATTCCTTGGACAAATCAAATAGCAAAAGGCATATTTTGTTACATCACAATATGGCTTTACAACTAATTCATTTATCGATACTAAAATCCAGTTGCAGCATTAGCTCTAAGAGGCAAGAAATGGTATTACTTTGGAGTAGAGAAAGTTTTTCTTTGCTAAAGAATGAATAGGATATAGTTGAGTGTCCCTTATGTGAAATTGGGGTCATTTTGTGATTTTTCCCATTCAAAAATATTTAGATGGTTTTGCATTTTGCTTCTTAAAGTGGTCCATAGTAATTACATGCTGAATTATTTTTTTATCCATAGGTGGTTTTACACAACTGTTTTTTTAGGGACTCGGAAGTCTGGGAAGTGACACATTGATTTATCCAGGAACAACTTAATTTGGTTGAGAAAAAGGAAATAAAGTTATTTGTTGGACTGAAGTTTCAGGCCAAATAGCCAAGGGAGAAATTCAAAAATAGTCAGATTTACAAGTGGTCATTCAAAAATAGTCACACTTTTAAAAGTAATTGAAATTTAGTCACTTTTCATGTAAAGATAAATCTGAACGAAAACACTGTTCAGAATCCGAAAAATACTCTAGTACATTATACTGGAGTTCCAGCATAAAGTATACTGGAACTCCAGCATATTATATTGAAGTTCCAGCATAAGTATACTGGAACTCCAGCATAATATAATGGAGTTCAAGCATAAGTATACTAGAACTCCGGCATAATATATTGGAGTTCCAGCAAAGTATACCGGTCCAGTATAATATGTTGGAAGTTCATATACATGTGCTCGAATCTCCAGTATATTATGCTGGAACTTTCCGCGTGTTGGAGTTCCAGCATAATATGCTGGAAGTTCATACACAGATGCACCAAACTCCAGTATATTATGCTGGAACTTTCCGCGTGTTGGAGTTCCAGCATAATATGCTGGAAGTTCATACACAGATGCACCAAACTCCAGTATATTATGCTGGACCGGTCTCTGTTACAGCAAAATAGTAGCTATTTTTCAATGACTTGGTAAACGCTGGCTATTTTTGAATGACCAGTCCGAAAACTGGCGAGCCCGTGCTATTTTTACAATAGTCAAGGTATAAAGCCCAAGAAGATTAGAAGTGATAGAGGTGATATAATTGCTACTGCTTGGATTCCAATCAAGAGGAATGATGCAGTTTGGAAAAAACGGTTTGTTCTTGGAGTTTAATAAACCTAGCTAAACATTTATTTGCCTTTTCTTTTATGTGATATATTTAAGTTATTCACAGAGATGCAATTATATGAAGTGTCGAAGGTTTATAGGTAATTTGAATATGCCTAAGCCTTCCATTGTGTTCCGTGCTCTTAGGCCCGTGCAGAGGGGCACGGGCATTCCCATCTAGTATCCATATATACACAAGTTCTCGTTGGACGTGTTGGAATAGATTGTAGGTATTAGCCTAGTTGAGAAAGGTTAAGTGTAATTTTTATTTAGCATAGGTGGTTATTTTTTCATTTCGAATTTCATATTTTATTTTTTCTATTTTGAATTTGGTGGCAACTGGCTATTTCGATAATCCATGGAATTTCTATTTCACCGGTGATACCTCTTTAAAAAATCTAATTTCAAATACCTAAAAAATTTATTTATTAACTGGTGATACGTCTTAAAAAATATAATTTTCTGTCACGGTTTGGACTGTGACTTTAAAATTTAAAGCAAGACATGGATAATATGAGAATTGGGCCGGCTCATCAGGAAGTCTGATTGAGAATGAGTCCAGATTTATATATATAATTAAGGAAAAATGCATAAGTACCTTCAGATCTATATCCAGATTTTCAACTATATACTCTACCTTCGCAAGGGTAATTTATTACCTCTAAACTATTTTAAAGTAGAATTATTTGCACCCTTAAAGTTGACGTGGCAGAGTGTGTGTATTTCACTCTCCTTGGGGAGTGAGAAGCAAGCTTTTTAGATTTTTCTTTTTGCTTTTTTACCATTTTTTCTTACTTTTTTTTTCCTTTTTCTTTGTCTTTGTCTTCTTATTTTACTTCTTTTTTTGTTTCTTTTCTCTAATTCCAGCGGATATTCATTCACCGGCGGCTTTGTCTAACCGTTTTTCTTTTATTTATTATGTTTTTCTTTTTTCTCTTTCTATCATTTTCACACACAAATTAAACTCTCAAAAAGATCTATTCATAAGCAAAGTAAAACAAAAATTCTGATTTGAGGGAAAAATTCATCATCGAAAAACCTTCCCACGCCGAAAAAAATTGAGGCATTGAAATTTTATCTAGAAAAAGTTTTCTCAGCTTATATTCGTTTTTATTTCTTTTTCTCTTTCTCCCACACATAAATTACACTTTCAAGAAATTTATATATATATATACACATACACTCAGATCGGGATAAAAATCTGTCGCCGGAAAAAACATTTCTCCAAAAAAAATGGTGTCTTTGAAATTCCGACAACCACCATTTTATGCCGCCGGTGACCAAAATAAAAAAGAGAGAATGAAATAACAAAAAAAATGAGAATAATAAGAAATAGGAAAAAAGTATAAGAAAAAGAAGAAAGAATAAAAAAAGTACTAAATATACATGTGACAGCGCATGTAGTTCACCACTTGCCAAGAGTTTGGTTATCTAGTTTTAGGGTGATATTTATTCCATTTAAAAAAAGTTTAGGGGGTAATAGAATTTTCGCAAAGATAAAGTGTGTAGTTGAAAATTCGGGTATAGGTTAGGGGGTACTTATGTATTTTTTCCTATAATTAAGTTTTTAGCCTTTATTATTTGGTCCCTGGTTTTTTTTATTTTCAATCAAGTTCTTCTATGTTAGGCTGTTAGCTAGCGGAGGGTTGGGCACGTGTCATAGGTGGTACAAGTTTGTTAGTTGTAGATAGCTTTTCCAATATTTAGGGAACGTTGCCTTGTATTTTTGGGTTATCTGATGAATGAAAAATTAATTTATCTTTTTAGTTATTGCTTTCCTTCTCATGACAATTTCGACGTTGGAATCGCTACATTTGGTATCAGAGCTGACGATTGTCGACTGTTCGTCGGTGTTAATGACAGAGTCCGACAGAGGCTTGAATCAGTTGGAGCAACATATTCAAGCTTTAACGGAAAGATCGAACAGAAAACTGCAGCATATAGAAGAATGATATCAAAATCATTTCTGGCCCTTCCATAGTTTAGAAAACCAGGATAACCTTTAAAGATCGGAGTGTGAGCAACGGGTTTCCGGCGACCCGTGTGCATATCATCAGTATCCTGGCGCAAATCCAAGTTTTTATCGAGATTCCTGTGGTGATTTCACTGGTGGATTCGCTAACCCAATGATTGGAGGATGGAATTATCTCGATTTACCCACAAGTGCTTACTCTTACCAGATTCCATTTGCTTAACAGATTGATAATACAAATCCAGGTTTCTATTTCGTTCAGCTCGGCAATGGTTCGGTGGTGTCAATGACTAGCGCTGGGATAAATAACTTGCTTAACTGTAGCTATGGGTATTTTAAATACAAAATACCAGAAGTAAATTACCCATATGCTGAGCCTCCATTCATTTTGACTAAACCCGAGGCTGGAAATATTAAAGATGAAAGGGTCTCTTTCTCAGGGATCGAATCAGATTCAAGTATCAAAAAGATGGAGAACTGGGTCAAAGATGTACCCATGAAAATCAAAGGTGAAAATGCAGACAAGGTGTTGGCTGAAATTTTCAATGATTTTGAATCAGGGGCGGCCCCGCGTGATGATAAGTGGGTTCAATTGAACCCGCTTCGTCAAAAAATAGTACTGTGTATATGTATAAATTATGGCTAAAGCAAGGTAAATTTTGTATAAAATCTAAATTTGAACCCACTAGACAGAAGCTTTGCTCTTGTAAAAGTGGTCAAGCGGGTTCAAAGTATTGGTGAGGTCGTGTGCTCGAATCATTTTTATTTTTTGTGCCTACTTTATTTTTTTGTTTGTATAAATTGCAACAAGAATGAGAAAAGGAAACAAACCCATGAAGATATCAACATATCCTAATATAACTGTCTTTGCAATCAAATCAATTTATTTTTCTTGTAGTATATATTTTGCCATTTTCTTTATTTTATTTTCTAGTTTATTTTCTTTACATAAGTTCAATAGAAATTATATTGAAGTTTATTTTACTCCAGAAGGTAATTTTAGTTCTCCCTTTCGTAAAATTTGTTAAGACTTGCAAATATATTTGTTGAAATTATTTGTCATTTGTTAGTTTAATTTAATTTTGTTTATGTTGGAATTCTTTTCATTTTTTTTTAGGGAAAATGCATAAGTACCCCTGATTTATAGCCGAATTTTCAACTACACACTTTATCTTTTCAGGAGTCCTATTACCCCTGAACCTTTTTAAAATGAAATAAACACACCCTTAAAACTGGACAACCAGATTTATGACGGGGAATGTTGTGCACGCATTGCCAGCTAATATTTTTTTTCTTTTTTTCTTATTATATTCCAATTTTTTTCCCCACCTTATTTTCCCGTTTTTCTTCCCTATTAACTGGAACAATGGATGAGGATCGAGGTCTTCAATGACAAAATGTAAGTTTGATTATATCCAAAATGTACATTGTTTTCATAAAACCCAATTGGGTGTTTTGGTGTAATTCAAATAGTTTTTTTAAAAACAAAAGTACTTAATTGTAGGGTAAGAATGAAACCTGAACTAAAAGGAGTTAAAATTATGATTAGGATTGCAAAATAGATGTGGAGTTCGAAAATCAACTTGTGTAAATTTATAAGGGGGTTTAAGTGTTGGTTCAATATTTGGGGATAATTCTGGAAATTGGGTTTGGAGAAGAGATGAAATTAGTAGATTCAAGGTACAGATTGAGCCCCTTAACCTAAAATATAGACCTTACAAATTGTTCTACAACTCAAGATACCAACGATAGGTAGACCATCGATGAACTTGCGACCGACATTAATGGAGTTCATGATCTTCGGACAACAAGACCAATTTAAAAAAGGAAAAAGGGACTAAAATAGAATTAAAAAATAGTATTAGTCTTAATTATAACTAATTAAGTCTAAAATAATGATTTTATTTTCAATTAAAAGTTGTCACTTGTATAAACTAATCAGTTTTAAACTTAAATTTTGCCTCTCACATGCTTTCAAGAGAGTGAACACACTCTCCTTGCCACTTCATCATCTAAGGGTTTGTTTATTTCATTTTTAAAAAGTTTAAGGGGGTAATAGGACCCCCACAAAGATAAAGTGTGTAGTTGAAAATCTGGCTATAGGTTAGGGGGTACTTATCCATTTTTCCTTCTCTTTTTTTTGTGAATAAGCTCTCTTTCTTTGTTTATTGGTATTAATTGTAACTCTTTTCTTATTGTCTTCTTTTGCAAATAATAACTTGTTACTTATAAATGCTAAAAAGATTTTATAATCGATCAAATTTCTTAGAGTTAATAAATTCTAAAATTGGTCAATTATTTTTTTGTTAAAGTTCAACAAATTAGCTAAAATTAGATTTTAGAATTAA